AGAAACGAAGGAGAAATAGTACCTTTCCCAGACCAACAAAAAAGGTGGCAATTTGCCACAAGACTGGCCCTACAAGAAATCCTCAATAGAGTCCTACATCTGGAATCGAAAGAATGATAACTATCATCATGAATACATAAAATATGTGTATTTTGGAAATATATATATAAAAAAAAAACTTTGGAAACAAACAACCCCCTCAAATAAATTAATAATAATAATAAGTTGAATTGTTAAAAGGAGAGAGACGACTACGGTTACTAGAGGCAGGAAAGAGCGGGGATAGTGAGAGGCTGGTTAATGGATACAAAAATACAGTGAGATAGGAAAGGTAAGCCCTGTTGGTGTACAGTTGACCCAGAAATCTCTAATCAATAATGATTTACTGCATGTAACCAAAGGACTAGAAGAAAGGAGATCAAATGTGCACATGTTAAGCTTTGCAATGATGAGCAGGCTAATTGTTCTGAATAAACACACATTGTATACCTGTATTGAAGTACCCCATAAATTTGTACAATCAATATATTTCAATAAAAAAACTTTTAAAAATAAAAACAATCCAGGAAAATATATATTCATGCCGTGAAGCAATTTTTTCCTTACCCACATGCCTCTTATCCATCTGAAAGGCTGACTCACATACCCCATGAACCTTAAAGTAACTGAAACATACAGGTTGTCATTGCCAATGGGTTATCACCAATACTTGTGATGAGCCCATGTCCAAAGTTTCCAGGTCATTAGCATGGTCCATTTTGCTTGTGAAGGTGGGAAGGAGATCAATGTGCAGGGCTTGAGAAGATCTGCCTCTAGCTTCTTGTTCTTTTTATGAACATACAGAAAGAGAAGGGACGTAATAGTCTGGCTTTATCCCCTATTAGTCAGAGAGTGGTCCTATTCCTTGTAAGATTATTTGATTGAGTTTTTCAGAATAAGTAGCACCTTTTCAAATGTCAACACGTCTCTGAACCTCAGCATGAGTTTTCATAACGATAATATGTTACTCCCTCCAAATTACTTCTGTGGATTTAAATAAAAGTCAATAAAATAATCTTAGCAAAAGAGATGGTTTTACATGCTTTGAAAAGGAAACTTAAAAGGAAGATAGACCCATACACAGTAGCTTTCTAATAACTTGAGTTTATTAAGTGCCTGTGAAAGTTAGTGAGTGAATAAAAAAAAATTCGGGTAATACACAAACCATCATTGCCAATGGGTATCACCGATACTTGTGATGAGCCCATGTCCAAAGTTTCCAGGTCATTAGAATGGTCCACTTTGCTTGTGAAGGTGGGAAGGAGATCAATGTGCAGATCTTGAGAAGATCTGGCTCTAGCTTCTTGTTCTTTTTATGAACATACAGAAAGAGAAGGGAAATAATAGTCTGGCTTTATCCCTTATTAGTCAGAGAGTGGTCCTATTCCTTGTAAGATCACTTGATTGAGTTTTTCAGAATAAGTAGCACCTTTTCAAATGTCAACACATCTCTGAACCTCAGCATGAGTATTCATAACGATAATATGTTACTCCCTCCAAATTACTTCTGTGGATTTAAATAAAAGCCAATAAAATAATCTTAGCAAGAGAGATGGTTTTACATGCTTTGAAAAGGAAACTTAAAAGGAAGATAGACCCATACACAGTAGCTTTCTAATAACTTGAGTTTATTAAGTGCCTGTGAAATTTAATGAGTGAATTAAAAAAAATTCGGGCAATACACAAACCACTGGAAATTTACAACAGCTTACATTTTAAAAACATTGATGTGAGAAAACACATAGAAAAGGTAAAATAAATATATGAGCAGAACAAGACCACAGTAGGATGAGTAAGAAAGACAGTGATGACAATGACAGATTCAACATAGTCCTGGGTGGGCCAGTGGAAAAAATGTATTGCAGACTATTCTGAGGGAGGAATGGTATGGTTATTAAAACAGGGCAGTGAAATCTGTGAAACTATATTAAAGTCCTTGATACTGGCAAACATGACTTCAGCCAGCTGCCAAAAAAAAAAAAGAAAAAAGAAAAACGGAAGAAAAAGAGGGCAAACTAAAAACAAACAACAAATTACTATTTGGTGTCAGTCATATGTTATATACCCTTCCTAAAATTTTGCATGCAACATTAGTTGCTAACCATGAAATGCTAATTGTATATCAACGTGGAATACAGAAAAGAGTACAGATTCTTGAACAATCTGAAAATTTAAGTATAGTTAAGAAAGCTGTACTTCATTTCTCTTAGAAACATTAGAAGCTCACATGGCCTGGATGAAATGTTTTTAAGCATAGGAAAAAATATTTTAAGCAGGTTTTTAACTCAATAGTGTTGCATGATTTCAAACTAGTAATAAGAATGAGCAAATAGAAGAGATTCAGTAATATAAATGTTAAGATACTCATAGTAAATCCAGAATATAGTTAACACTATTTCCTGAAAGAGTAAAGAAAACATATTGCACATGTTACCAAAAAGGAAAACAAGCAATGAGGGTGAATGAGTTCAAAAAGTATCTAGAAACGCTTTGGTGAACAGGGCAATGTTTTAAAATTGAAAAACTCAGAAGGATGATAAAGACCCACGTGACTAAAGGACTTATTCATAACTGCTACTTCTGGCCCTTGAAGACATCTGTTGATCCTCTTCGAATCACACTGCATATGTGCTTTACTCTGTTTAGGTAAAAATCTCTCAATAAACTAAACCTGAAGTTTGAAAATGCAAACAGTTGAATGAGTTTGAAACATCATTATTATGTCAAGTCAGAACTTGTAACCACTCCAAGCCCCGCAAATATCACTCTAAATTAAAGAGCTCAGGGTCTCGAACTTCTGTGCCTTCAAATCTCTATTCAGAAGCTGTGTTTCTCCTCCTAGTTAAATGTACTATGCTAACTGAGCCAAGTATAATTTGCTCTTAATTGGTGTCAGAAATAGGTTTCTCTCTCTCCTTTACAGCAGTTGTAAAAAATAATTCCTCAAATTCATGACAATCTATGGATGGCTCTTGAATTTTTTCCCAAATAAGTGAAGGACTGGAGTCTCTAAAGTTAACCAAAAGAACAATGAAAGGGCCATCAAACAGAACTGGATCATGGAAAGCATCAGCAGAAAGGAGGGAAGGAAGGAAGGGAGGGAAAGCGAGAGAGGTCAGGAGGAGAGAACATTCTATAAGAATTCCATTTCTTTATCAACTTGGTGAGAAAGTTAAAACGCCATCCATAAACAATAAAATCTTTGCCTGGAAATTCATTGCCAGGATTTCTCAGTTATTAAGTCGTATAACTTCGTATAATGTATGCTATACGAAGTTATTACGAATGCTGAATGCTTAGTATAAAATGCAAAGAGACAATCAATTGAAAATTTTCCATTTTGTTTCCTTGTTTTTGGAATACCTATGTACCCACTTACTGTGTGGCAATATTCAAAAAATATCTGGGAAAGATGAAAGAAAGAAAGGGGAGGGAGGGAGGGAGGGGGAGGGAGGGAGAGAGGAAGGAGGAGGAGGAGAGGGGGAGGTATTTGTTAGAATGGAAAAGGTTTTAAAAGTGTCTCATATACAATTGTATAAGTGTAACTACAGTCATTTTAATATTGAGCATATATAAAGACCAATACAAATTCAAATTCTTTCTTTAAAGCATGTATTCTTGTCTCCTTATAAATATAAATAACTGCTGTACTTACCCTGATATAAAGTATTTCATATCCATACTTATGACTTAATTGGAAGAACATGGGTTCTGGAGCCAATAGGCTGCAGTGTGAACCTGAGCTCAGCTACTCATCACCTTGGGGGCATCACTGAGCCCTCCAGACCTCAGCTTTCTGTACTGTAAACTGGAGATAAGAGAGTCTGTCTCACTGGAGGATGAAGATCGAGTGAGTTAATGGAAGCAACGTGCTGAGGGCAGTAACCAGCACGTGGTAAGTAACTGCACAACGTGACTTGTGCTAGCCATGGCTGTTACTGCTGCTGTTGCCATGATTACTATTACTACTACTACTGTGTTTACCAAACCATATTTCCTTATGTCCTCATTTAACACAGGATGAACTAGAAACTTCTTTTTGAGGCAATCCTTATTATCAAACTCATTCCAAAATAAATTCTCTCACTTTCCTGCTCATAAGCTTGGGCTAAACTTACTTTAATCATTATTTGATCAGCAAAGATCCTGACATAACTTAAGGTCATTATCAACATTAATAATCACTGCATTACCCTGGAAATAGAGAGGAGTTTGGACTGACTTTAGAGATTTCCTTAAATATGGGTAAGTGTGGGGCTGGCTGGTTAGTTCAGTTGGTTACAACCTTTACTGGCCAGCCATCCAAGAAAAAGAAAAAAAAAAACAGGCAAGCGTGTACATGTGCCAGTGTTTAAACATAAGTATCATATGAGATCCCATTTATTTTCCTCTTTATTCCTTAAGACACAGGGTGGTTGGGTTTTGTGTTAGCAGGTTAACATGTAATTTTGATGTAGCGGTGTCACACTCACTTGGTTATGAAGAACTACGTCAAACTACACTCAGATAAACTCCTATGTACCTTCTCAGCTCATCTCCTTATGTGTAAACTTCAGAACAGACTTAAATACATGTTCCATGAGAAAAAATATAAAATGCTCTGTCATAAGTTCCTTGGAGGAAGGAAGAGCTAGAAATACAAGACATTCATCAGTACTATCAGTTTTGTGTTCAGAGAATAACCCTTGGCCCTCCTTGATGGTATCAGCCAGCCCTTTGCACACTAGATAAGCTCTCCTACCTCCACACCTCGTGCTGTCCTCCATTTTGAGGGCAGCCCTTGGCTGCTGTCCACTTCGGGTGCAGCCAAGCAGATTCTTTTCCTTTAATAAAGCTTGATCGGTACCCAGTATCTCGGCTTGCTTTCTTTCAGTGCCAGCTGTCTTTTTCATTTTCTTTATATGCCAGAATGCCCAATCCTTCTGTTGAGCCAAGATTTTATGTAAATTAAGTGTCCAAGTAACATTTCTCCTGAAAAACAGCCATCTCATGTCCAGGTACCCCCAGAGCAAGCCCCACAATTAGAGATGCTACTCACCCACTCAGAAGAACAAAAGGAAAAACTCCTGTCACCAGAGATCTATGAAGGAGTGAGTAAGCTTGTTTGGGCGGATGGGGTACCTGGTCATGCCAAAAATGTGGAACCAACAGACATTAAATTGAACGAAGGGGCACATGTTCCACATGAGAAACAATAACCCCTAAAAGAGAGGGGTTAAAAGACATCCAACCAGTTTTACTAACCTCCAACAACAAGGACATAAAACATACAGCAGAAATCTTGACGTTGTTAAAAGCATTTCTGCTTCCAGTTAAGGTTACCATAGTGCACTGCTTGAGCCATCAGAGAGCTGATTTCCAAATAATGAAGGGAAACCAAATAGCTAACAAAACAGCAAAACAGGCAGCTAAAGAGATACAGTTACTAGGGGCATTGATACCTCATGTGGACTTACCTGACGTTAAGCCCCATTACCTAGATTGAGATGAGGAACACACTCGAGAACAGGGCTTTACAAATACAGACTCAATCTCTTTATGTAAAATCAATACCCATGGAATGATATTACTCCCTGAAGCCCTAGCATACCCAGTTATGAAACACCTACATGAAGGCACTCATTATGGCTGTGATGCTTTGTCAGATATAGTCAGACCTTACTTTAAAGGACCCCATCTTCAGAGGACTATACGAAGAATTACGAGTTTTGGGGGACCAGGGGTGGAATGTTTTAGACTGAATCTTAAAAGACATCCAACCAGTTTTATTAACCTCCAACAACAAGGACATAAAACATACAGCAGAAATCTTGACGTTGTTAAAAGCATTTCTGCTTCCAGTTAAGGTTGCCATAATGCACTCCTTGAGCCATCAGAGAGATGATTTCCAAATAATGAAGGGAAACCAATTAGCTAACAAAACAGCAAAACAGGCAGCTAAAGAGATACAGTCACTAGGGGCATTGATACCTCATGTGGACTTACCTGACGTTAAGCCCCATTGCCTAGATTGAGATGAGGAACACACTCAAGAACGGGGCTTTACAAATACAGACTCAATCTCTTTATGGAAAATCAATACCCATGGAATGATATTACTCCCTGAAGCCCTAGCATACCCAGTTATGAAACACCTACATGAAGGCACTCATTATGGCTGTGATGCTTTGTCAGATTTAGTCGGATCTTACTTAAAAGGACCCCATCTTCAGAGGACTATACAAAGAATTATTCAAGGATGCCACCTATGTACTAAAAATAATCCTAAGACTGAAGAGCTCCCACCTAGGAAGGGAGTCCAACGTAAAGGGATATGCACCTATGAGGACTGGTAACTAGAATTTACTCAAGTGCCCAAAACTATGGGGAATTTTAAATTTCTGTTGGTGTTTGTGGATACTTTCTCTGGATGGGTAAAAGCCTATCCCACCTAAACTACAAAGGCCACAGATGAAGCCAGGTTTTTGCTTAAAAAAAAAAAAATCCTCTATTTGGCTTACCCAGCACATACAAAGCAATAATGGACCTGCATTTATTTCAGCAATAATACAGGAGGTGAATGAAACTCTACAAATCAAATGGAAACTACATTTGTCATGGAGACCTCAGTCCACACAAAAAACTGAAAAGATAAATCATACTTTAAAAGGACTCTAGCCAAAATTTGCCAGCAAACTCATCTAAAATGGGGTTGAAACATTTTCCATTGCCTTACTTCATATTATGGTGGCATCTAGAAGTGGACTCAAATTGAGTCCTTTTGAAATTGTATATAGAAGACCCTCCCAAGCCTCCATGTTAGGGACCCCTCTCTAGACACTGAACACGACTTGCATCTGAATGCTTACATACAATAGTTACGTCAAACTCTAACTATTCTACATCAGTTTGCCTTTGCCAGGTCAGCTTTTCCAGCAGATGAACTGCTACACCCCTTCAAACCAGGAGACAGAATGCTGCTAAAGACATGGTGAGACCAGGGCCCAGACCAACTGACTAAGTGGATGGGTTCTTAGGACATCTTATTAACCACCCATACTTCCCTAAAGCTTGTCAATGTTAAGCCCTGGATTCATCACACACAGGTAAAAAAGGCACCACTGGAAGAACATAAGCCTGATCCATGGATTTGTAAGCTGTTAGAAGACCTCGAACTTCTATTTAAAAAAGAAAAATAATTAACACATGTGCTTTAATTAAATCAATTAAACTGTTTTCCATTTCCATGGGTTTTAATCTACTTAATTAATTTAACTGTCTTCCATTGCTACTCTTTACCTTTGGGGTGACAAATAAATGATTCCACCTTGTTTTTACAATGGACCCAGCACTATGCTGACAGGCTGCAGGTAGGTTTTTGCTGGATAAACGGGCTACTTCTTTTTCCAGCACTTTGGGCCTTCCTTGTTAGTTTTCCAAGTCCCACCTTAGGAGTGGAGCTACGCAAGGTCGTGGAGTCCAACCCCCCACCTGAGTGTGCAGAGAATGGTCCCCCACATGAGTGTGCAGAGAATGGTGGACATGGAGTCAAGGCACATGACCCTCCAGCTGGAAGATTTAATGCCTGCCCTGCTGGGTTTGGGACTTGCTTAGGATCTCTTACCCCTTTCTTTTGGCCTATCTCTCCATTTTGAATGGGACTTTGTACCCCGTATTTGCCCCATCGTTGTATCTTGGAAGATAAGTTGATTTTACAGATGGGACCTTGGACTTTTGAGTTGAAACAAGTTAAGGCTTTAGGGATGAAATTAATGTTCTTGTATGTGAAAGGGCATGAGTTTTGGGGGACCAGGGGTGGAATGTTGTAAATTGAATGTTCCCCCCCAAGCTCACTGAGACTTGATCCCTACTGACAGTGTTAAGAGGGTAGGTAATCCTATTGTAATAGAAAGGTACGGCCTTGAGGAGGTGATTGGATTGTGAGGATTGTATCCTTATGAACTGATTAATCCATTGATGGTTTAAATGGAGGTCATGGGTGTGGTTCTGATGGCTTTAAAAGGAGAGCATGTGAGAAGCTCACACTCTCTCTTCTCCTGCCATTTATACCCTGTGTCACTGTAAGGCCACCAGCAACAAGGCCCTCACCATTCTGTTCCCTGGACTTTGGACTTCCCAGCCTCTAAAACTGTAAGCAGTAAACAGTTTCTCTGTAAATTACCTAGTTTCAGGTATTTCTGCACATAAGCCACAGAAACTAATATATGCATCACTCTTACTTTTTCTGACACAAGGTTAAATCAAATAATCTAACACTGAATGGAGACATTATAAATGGATATAAGATTTTCTTCCATACTTCAAGTACAGTATGCCTATTTACCTGGATTCTAATAGCATCCACTTTGTTTATGACAGTATACCTATTTACCTGGATTCTAATAGCAACCACTTTGTTTATAATGCAACAAAATACCACACACATTATTAGTTACTAAGGATTGGGCTTCTTGTTTCCCTGTTTTTCTTTGCCCACTCGTTCCTTTTCTTCCAATCCATACTAGCACTCAAATAGATTTACATTATCTGAATGACAGAAATTTATTTCTAGACAACTAATTCTGGAAAGAAGCAATGGCTGGGATTTGGGGAAATAGGTATTATGAGGTCACAAATAAAACAGTCAGGACGTTATCACTTGATTGAGATGATTTTTTGCTCTTCTATTTGGGCTGATCTTACTTAACCACATGCTATAAAATTCCAGCCTTTGATATCTGCTTAAGACCTTTGGAGGTTTACACAGCCCAGATTCCTCTAATGAAAGTTCACATGTATGCCAGAAACAGTGTCCAATTTCAGAAAGCACAAGAATACTCACTTGTTTAGCCTTCGTCTTTGAGATGGTGTCAGAAATAGGTTTCTTTCTCTCCTTTACAGCAGTTTTAGAAAATAATTCCTCAAATTCATGACAATCTATGGATGGCTCTTCAATTTTTTCCCAAATAAGTGAAGAACTGGAGTCTCTAAAGTTAACCAAAAGAACGATGAAAGGGCCATCAAACAGAACTGGATCATGGAAAGCATCAGCAGAAAGGAGGGAAGGAAGGAAGGGAGGGAAAGCGAGAGGGGTCAGGAAGAGAGAACATTCTATAAGAATGCCATGTCTCTATCAACTTGGTGAGAAAGTTAAAACGCCATCCATAAACAATAAAATCCTTGCCTGGAAATTCATTGCCAGGAATTCTCAGTTATTAAGTCATCGTGTAAAAACATAAAAGGAAGACCCCTCTCAGTGTGGGCTATAAAGGCAAGAAATTCCTGATATCTCACAGTCCCAACTTGGCTTATCAGCCTCATTGATTATTCATGGGTTAAGAAAAGTACAATTCCAAGACAGCATTCCCCCTCAGATACCCCCTCTCCATAGCTGCCCATTATCCCATTGGTATTTAGCTTCTCAGTGACTAAGGATTCATGTAGTACCATCTAAAAAGGGTAAATACAGTAAAAAAAAAAAAAAAAAGCAAACCAACAAAAGAACTTCATATGATCTATCTGGAGAAAATGAGTTTGGGGCATAATTTTATTTTTTATTTTATTTTATTTTTTTAAAAGATGACCGGTAAGGGGATCTTAACCCTTGACTTGGTGTTGTCAGCACCACGCTCACCCAGTGAGCCAACCGGCCATCCCTATGCGGGATCCGAACCCTTGGCCTTGGTGTTATCAGCACCGCACTCTCCCGAGTGAGCCACAGGGCCGGCCCCTGGGGCACAATTTTAAATGATTCATCAGCACATAGGTGACATGGCCACTACACAAAGAATAAACTGCAAAGTTAAAAGTCATCAGGATATGCCCCCTGGTATGATTTAGCAAAGAGAAAATTAACACAATAAAAATGAGCCTGGTAAATACCCTGTTTCTAAGTTCATGCCACATCACACAGAGACAATTCAAGGAATCATGAAAAGTTAGAATGAGGAAGGCCAGTGAGGTTTATAATGGGTGCTTTTCCTCCTCCACCCCCACATCCCACAGCCAGGTCTCACAGTGCTGTCGTGGTGACCAGGGAACACAGGTGATGAACTAAGCACGGATGATAACACACACCAGTGTGCCTGGTGAAAGTGCTCTTTTATAACAATCATCCCAGCTATGACTTTATGACTTCATGCTGTATCTTCAGTCATCTATAGAAGAGCCATGAAATTCTGCAAACTAAATGATTCCACACATGGATGTGGATGTATTTTTTTGTAGCATGTTTCTGAAGAAAGACTACCGCAAATAAGATGCAACAGTAAAGCAAGGATGTGTGAAATGCAGAAACCATCCTCAGTAGCTAGTCAGCCTAAGGGCTTCATCTCCATGTTTAAGCTGCTGTCTGAACTGACTTTATGACTTCATGCTGTATCTTCAGTCATCTATAGAAGAGCCATGAAATTATCCAAACTAAATTATTCCACACATGGATGTGGATGTATTTTTTTGTAGCATGTTTCTGAAGAAAGACTACTGCAAATAAAATGCAACAGTAAAGCAAGGATGTGTGCCTTTTAAAGGATGCAGAAACCATCCTCAGTAGCTAGTCAGCCTAAGGACTTCATCTCCATGTTTAAGCTTTTGTCAGAAATGGAAGTTTCAACAGTGAAAGCAAAGGGTAGATTCTAATACGGAAAATAATTTGGCTACAAATGTCTCTGCTTATCTGCCCTCGCTCATTTTCTAGAGGCCATGTAAGCATAGTTTCAGTTGGATTCAGGTATGAGTAGCAGCCAAGTCCTGCAACAATAAGAAAAATACATCCCTCGATCTTTAAGACACATGTCAATTACTGTATAGCTGGACATATGTACATCTGACACACTGATACATGTACATCTTTTGTTTTACTCCTTTGGTACTTCCAGAGAAAAGCCTAAAATTTTAAATAACAAATTGCTGCACTAAATATTGATGTAAAAATCTGCAGACAATTTTTAGAGCTGTACTTAAGAATACATTAAATTGTAATTTTCCTAAGAGTTTAAGGTAAAATGCTACCCTCATACTGACAAACTGGGCAGAGGAGCTCGCTTCTGTGTTACCTTTTACTGTGGAGTTGAATTCTTGTCCAACAAAGAGGCTTCATTGGCCGACAAGGCTCTATCGGCTGCTTCCTACACCCTTTGTCCTGATTCATCCCTAACCCGAACAAGCCAGCTGGCAATGGAGGAGGAAGGAATCCACACACTTGTCGTGCTGGTAAAGTGCTACTCCCAACTTGAGAGGGAAGTGGAAGGCCTGATCCAGGAAGCAGAGGTGGCGGGGGTGGGAGGATTCCTGTTCCAGGTGGATGGGGAGGAGGAGCTGGAGCAGGTGGAATCCCCATACCTGGCAAAGGAGGAGGTGGGGGAATCCTGGCACCAGGCAGAGGAGGGGGAGGGGGGATTCCCACTCCAGGAAGAGTGGGGGGAGGAGGTATTTCCACTCTGGCTAGGGCAAAGGGAAAAGGTGGCAGCATTTCTGTACCCTGAAGAGGTGGGGGAATTGAAGTACTGGGCAGAGCAGGCACTGTCATGACAGGGGCAGGGGGAGGTAGGGGGATCACCCTGTCCAGGACAGGCATAGAGCTGGAAGACTCTGTACAAGGCAAAGGTGGTGGGGGTGGGATATTACAGCTGTTTTCAGAGGAGGAGAAAACAGAGTGCTCATGGCTGGTTTCAAACTCAGTGTGAAGAGAAGGATGGGACAGCTGTGACCCAGTCTGTCCTTGACCACACCCAGTCTGTCCTTGACCACCTGACCACAGAAGGCATGGAGACGGTGGAGGCTGTGATATACTCTGTATGGACTGATGGGTGTCGAGCTGTACTGATATTCGCCTTGGAGACACAATCAAAGAAATTTCTGAACAGAATTTTGTCTGAAGCCCAGAAGGTGAGGATGGAACAGCTGCCTCTCCACTCTCAGTCCCGGGTGGGCACAGAGGACCTTCTGAGAGCCCGTTCACAGAAGGTAGTGTCGGAATCCCACCGTCTTCAGTCGGGGAAGTCTGAATGGATTTTGCCTGTAAAGTTCTTTGACACTGCACATCCTTTTCTCCTACCCTGAAAGTGTCAAGACAGACATCTTCTGAGGGTGTCACTCCACTCTCAACCCTATGTCTGCCACGAGCTGGCTCCATAGTCACGGCAGGGTCTTGCTTCTCTAGTTCAGCTATTCTGGTCCTCAGATCCTCAATGGTCTGTTCCAGCTGCTGGATCACAGTTGTCTGTCCCTCATACTTCATGTCAAACACTTCCTGAGGGGAAACAATGACAGACATAGTTAAACGTAAAAGGAAAAATCCAAAGTTCAAAGGAAAGAATTATAAAACTAAGCAAAATCATATTTTTTGTTGTAATACTTCCAAAAATCCCTCCACAGAAAGACACTATTAATATTTCAGTGTCCCCTCTTTTCCACCCTCAGTTTCCTAGTGGTTTACACACAATACTATGGGGTCCTAAGACCCTCATTTGTCTCATCTTCTAATGATATCGCTGAGGACAAGTGGATGGACCACTGAGAATAGGCAAGAAAATCCTGAGTGAGAAACCAGTTCATTTCTAAAATAGGTTTCTCTCTTTCCTTCCTAGTAACATTTGCTTAAAGACATGTTAAAGGTAATGAGTTTTTAGGACAATCTCTGCCTTTTAAAGGTGATTGCTAAAACACTGAACAAGTCTCCAATAAGAACATGTGAATTTTTTTTTAACATCTATACGGGCAAGAGCATACACCTTATAAGCATACGTCATTAAATCTATGTTTACTGCAATTCTAATATTTTACTCAAGTCATTTCAAAAAGTGTTAACTGATGGCTCTTCACAATTCACAAAAATAACAACTGTGTCAACCTATGGGTCACCCTCACATCTAAGTGGTGCTTCCTTTCTCAAGATACACAGTCGACCAGGAATCCCTCAGGGAAAAAAAAAAAGTTTTGGGTGGAAAAAAGGGGAAAGTCCTATGGGTAAATTAAATTTGAATAAAAGATGAAAAGAGGAAGAAGAGATGGGTAAAGAGAAAGGGGGATGAAGAACAGAAATAGTGAAAGGGAGGAGAAACCCCTGCCATGTGGAAAGTGCCAGGCCAGACATCTGCTCATAGGGCTGTGGATTCGTGGCTGAGAATGGTTTCTCCAGAGCATTCCAGGGATTTTCAAATGTAATCCCAGTAAAAGCCACCATAGAGAGCCACAGGCTCACATGCACGTGCACACACACCTTTCCCACGTGGGAGGCTGACGCTTATACTCCAGACCTGATTTTACATGTTGTGGAAGGATAATTAATAGGTAATATGAAGATGATATTAACGATAGAAGTAAACTCTCATCCTGCTTGCCCAAGGTTAAACTCTGGATCCAAGAAAAGTTTCCAAAAAGTAAAAAATAAAGAACATTTTCTCTACTCTTTATTAAATCCAAAGCAGGCATCAAACTCGCTTTCAATGAAAAAAAATGCAGATGGACAAGAAAGAAATGAGTATTTACAACAAATGAAGCATTTTTGTGCTATGGTACATACGATAAAAGTCATTAGAGCTGGACCCCCCGACCCCCGCTGAAGGAGGAGCTGTAAATTTAATAGTCCTTGCTGTAACCCGTTACTTCGTCTCTGGAAACTTATCTTTTACTACACATTAAACTTGTTGAAGATCTATTATGTTTGTTGAGAGTTGAATAGAACTTACAACTTCAGAGACACAGCCCCTACACACAGTTTGTTTCTTTTTTCTTTCTTTCTTAATTTACCTATTATCAAAGACAAACAAACAAAACAAAGACCAACTAGTCCTTATTGTGAAAGGAAACAAAAAGAAAATAATTTACTTTTCAACTAATAAAGGAATGCACACACTTATAGGCAAATTTTTGAGAGGTACTTTATATCTACATGCTAGTACAGGTATAGGTATTCATACACACACACATACCTCTATACCTGAAGTCACAATTTTTCACCAATGTCTATACAAAGACATTGTGTAAAAGACATTACAAGGCACAGTTTGGAAAATCATGCCATATATTTTCCACATATTCATATGTGGAAAATTCATACTAATAAAAAGCACAACTGTTCAATACTTTTTTATTGCACTGGATTACTAAAATGTATAGATTTCTGTTTTCCCATCATACCCTCAAAAGTGACCTTTAATCATTAATAAATATTTCTTGAGTTATTCTGGTACATAAGGAGGGTTCTCATTTTCCCATCAATGGTGACCAAATAAAAAGGGTAGTTGACAAATGGCATGCAAGAAGTAGATTCTGGAAAACTTTTGCAAAACTTAATTCTTAAATGTTATAATCTAGGCCAGCTCTTTTTCACCATAGATTTGAGTATAATGAAAGCAGTATAAAAATTAAAGGACATTTGAAAAAAATAAGTAAATAAAAATACACAAAGAAGAAAGTGATCTTAAGTCCCAATGGCCTAGCACAGTAGCAATGACTATACCTCTTTCTACTTGGATTTATGCCTCCATATTCACAGGCCAGCTCGTCCAACACAGCACCCAAAGCTAGTGATAACAGAGGTCATAGTACCAATGACTGGGAAAATTCCTAGATTTTTTTTATCCTTTCTAATTTACATGGCCAGTCAGGAAAAGGTAAAAGAGGATCCTATTACACATGATAACTGGTACCAGGAAAAGATCTAAGTGAAATCTGCTTAAGACAATTTGCAGTTACTATGTATTGGCTCTCCCAACCTCCACGCCCCTCCTTCTGTTTATACAAGTGAGAAGAAAAACTACAGACTCTCTTGCAGGTAAGTTCATACAAGTGGATCACTCACACAGAGATTTAGAAAGTGGAATGAGGGGAGGACCATACTCCTTTTTGTCTTGAGTGTTGTTAGCCATCTTAAGATATGAAAACTTGAAGCTTCTCTGCAACAACATTCCAGTATTCACTCTCCAATTTGCAATGGTGGCCTCAAAGGTTTTAGCTCCCCCTTGTAGAACAGTTGTATACGATTCCTTTGAAAAGATTGAGCTCAGAAGTAGATCCTTCAAACTGTCCAAGCTTTCCATAAAAACATCTAATTTTATGAAGTAAACCCTTCTATTTAATACAACTAGCATA